CATGTGCAGAAAGGTCAAGGAAAACACTGTGTTTTCATAAAAACCGCTCTCTCACGGAACACTCACAAAGACATTTATCAGCAACAGGGAACATGAGAAGAAATTACTTTGAGAAGGTCCTGCAATCCGGTCTCTGGTGAGCTCCTGATAGTGACAACAACAAAAATCCAGGAATGGGGAGGAGGACACATACAGGTGGTTCCCTCCACTGTGAAATGAGAGCCAAACCAGATTATGAGGGCTTCTTTAATTCAAACATTTGTATCCAATCTCACCCAGATTAAATGTTGATTCTATTTTCGCAAAACACTATATTCATCAACTGTAAGGGGGAAAAAACTACATTATTGGTTCTAGTTCCACTCTGGCAAGAAGACATTTTAATTCAAATCTCCATTAGCAAACTCCATAAAAATAAAATATTTCTGTATGACTTTATACATTATCCCTTTTTACTTCTCATTTCCTGACTAGTTTTCTCAGTTATGCTGCCATGGTCATGACATAAATTTTGTGTCCCTACTAGTTCTTACTCAGAATGTCAGAGTTGTTCATTTATGAGGCATAGAGATGGCATATAGCAGGAATGGCTCAGTATTATAGCTCCTGAACACTTTCTGTTAAAGAATCTCATGAGGATGAAACCCCATTTATAACAAATTTAGGCCTCATCTTCTCCTTTCATCTAGTTTTTCATCTTTTTACTTTCACAATACCCCATGGTACGTGACTGTTTCAATTCTCTTTTCTTAGAAAAATTTCTTAGAAAATTAGACCATCTAGTTCAATATCATCATTGTTCAGAAAGATATAAAACTAAAGGAGAGGAAGATATTTCGTAAGAATTAGCTAAGAGAACCAGGTCTCAAACCCAGGTCTCTTACAACCATATCTAGCATTCTTTTTTCCTACATTTAAGGCTAATCGCTACACGATGTTCCTCTTCCTATTACTAACTTTGATAGTTCTCCCCTAATAGGCCAAAACTTCTAAATTATGGTCAGTAATCCACAGGAATAGTTCTCCCCTAATAGGCCAAAACTTCTAAATTATGGTCAGTAATCCACAGGAATAGTTCTCCCCTAATAGGCCAAAACTTCTAAATTATGGTCAGTAATCCACAGGAATAGTTCTCCCCTAATAGGCCAAAACTTCTAAATTATGGTCAGTAATCCACAGGAATGAAACCTGATATGCTAGCAGTTGCCCTGCAAGCTCAGGTATGAGACTGGGCGACTGAGGATGTGAAGCTGAGTTTACATACAAAAGCCTTACATCATGTGAACTGAGATTTTAACAGAGCCCCGGTGGGATGAGGCTTGGGTTGTTTTACATAGTGGGAAAGCAAAATTAGTGAATGAGTTGAACATTCCCAGTTAACTTTTAGCAGAGGATTTTTTTTTTAAATGGATGTTTCATAGTTGTTGGGCAGTAGGTTGGAGAAGGCAGGAACTGTGTGTGTACTTAGAACACCAAATTGACCTTCAAAGTCTGGAGGGTAATGAAGACAAAAAGAACGAAGGTAACCGAAAGAAACCAGAGAATCAAAGTAAGGGAAAGGCATTTAAAGCCAAAAAATGGGAGAATGGGAGTGCATCAGAGGAGACTGTCAATGATAATATTTGCTTATCAAGTAGATAACACCAACTGAGATATTCTTATTTTAAGTCAAAATATTAACTAACCTCCTGGTGACCACACAGCACGTTCACGTTTCTTATGTGATTCAAACTGTGATTGTACCTCAGCAAATGAAAACAAGCAGAGGTAAAGTCTTCCTTCTCAAGTTAAATAATGTAATTTTTCAGATTGTAAATACCTTCTTTCACATTTTGTTCCCTTTATAACGTTTTTAAATAACCAGACCAGCTCTTTCAAGTTCAATTCTTCCTCATAGAGTTCAGTCAGGACCTCATTATACATGACACCTGGAAGATAAAGAGATACCCAGACCTAGGAGAAAAATAACTAAAGAATCAGAAGGGTGGAATACTTGGGCCAGTTTCTAATAAGTATCTAATCTCATTTTTTCTGTTCCTGGGCACAGGGCCCACACTGTGAGCTACATTTCTTTTGACTGTGGACACTGCTCTGTGCCCCACAGAGTATTTGGCCAGATTTCAAAGTGATGAAATGAGTCCAATGACAGTGATATTTTCACCTTTTATCCCACAATTCTTTACCAAAGCCTCTGTAAGACTTCTTCAGAGAAGAGGCAGGGACAGCCAAACTCTACATCTGAGTATACTCTGCAGACATGAACCCGTTAGGATGGGAAAGGACTTCAGCACCAACACATATGCTGACCCTGACAAGTGGCTTAGGGGACATGGGACTAGTAAGGCAGAAGTAGAGAAGAAGTCAAACCAAGAGACACACGCTAGTCCTAATTCAACTGATGACCTGGCCCTGTGGCAGTGGGTCACCCATGTCACTTCTTGGCATCTCCATTTCTTCATCTACAATGTCAGGGAGCACAACTAGATAACCTTGAAATCCCTTTCAGTTCTAAGCTTCTGTGAAAGGGAAAACCACTCTTCAAGTAACCGTACGCATAGTGTACAATTGCAGGAAAAAGTATTGTGATATCTTCAAGACAATCTTCATAATTAAGATATGAGTGCCAAGAAAAGCCCTGAATTAATCATTTATAGCCATACATATGATCTTTGAAGAGAAGCGGTCATTCTGCAGAGAAAATCTGGGAGAATAAAAGTGAATGAAAAGCAAAAGGCTAGTAGTTTCTATCAAGAACTGTAGGAGAATGGAAAGCATTGAATGCTATTAACTAGCGCCGGGCTGGGCAAAGTTCTTCTGTAAAGGGCCTGAGAGTAAACATTATAGGCTTTATAGGCCATTTGCTCTTGGTTGCAACTCTTCCACTCTGCCATTGTCACATGAGAGCAGCTTTATAAACAATACATAAATGAATGAGCCTGGTTACGTGCTAAAAAAATTTCATTTATGAGCACTGAAATTTAATTTTTAAACCATTTTCACACTTCACAATTTTTTTTTAAACCCATTCTTAACTAAAGAGCCCTACAAAAACAGGTGGTGGGCCAGATTTGCCCTGCAGTTTGAGGGAAGATAATAAGGCTTTAATTTACAAATACATAAGGGACTGCCAAAAGTCTTTTAGAGGTAGTAATTTCTCTCATGGGGTCAAGAGATAAGGTAGGGGAAACACAGGGGAGAATGTTCTGATGGAGAAAAATGCCGAGGCTAGGTGCCAGCGCCATTATCTTTGCTTGATGGGGCCCCTGAGATTTCAGACTTTAACCTATCTGAATAAGAAAACAAAAGATTCAGCCACTCCTTACTTCTCTTTAGCAATAACACCAGTAGCTATTATTTATAACATGCCTACTATGTGCTGGGCAGTGTTCTAAGGATTTTGTGTACGTCGACTCATCTGATCTTCACACATCTCTGTAGGGTAGACGCTGTCATCATCATCGTTGCCACGGCACAGATAAAGACTCTGAGGCAAAAGAGTTTAAGTAATTCACCCAGAGTTACACAGTACGTGGTAGAGTCGGGGCTGGACCCCAGGCAGTGCAGCACCAGAGTCTCAGTTCCTCCCCATGATGCTGCATGGCTTCTCGCAGGCATGAGGGCTGCAACTACTTCCATTCAACATGGCCATACTACAGAAATAATTTACACTTTAGACTGGAGGGATTTTCTCACACGGCCATTTAAGATTCATTATTCTCACCGTGTACTCACAGTTGAAATTTTCAGTCCTAAGTGAAATCTAATAAAGAACATTTCAAAATCTGTTCTCCTCAATTTATGTAATTAAATATATGCCAAATCAAGGATGTCATTCTGTTATCAAGATTATTATGTAAAACACTACCAAATACTGACAAATCTGTATGAGAACGGTTCCCTGACTCAAAATAACTTTCCCTACTTTTGACTACAGCTTCCTCTTTACTAATAACTATTCATTAATTTCTTCCTTTTTTTTTTTTCTTCACTGACATAGACATCAAATACCTCTATATTTCTTACGAAATTATTCCTCAGTGCAGTTCTGGTGTACACTTACTTTCCAGATAACATATTTTTAGAATATGAAATCCCTCAGCTGCCAAGCTGGTTAATTCAAATATGAAAACTTTCAAGTCCCAGTAAACATGGAAAAACAAATCACGTTCAAAAAACTACTGACCAATAAAGCAAAAATAAGCTTCCACAATTTATGCCCACCTCTCACTAGTCTATTTCAAGGATTATTAGTCAGATGTATGTAAATGACGAAAGGCTCTAGAGTATCATGAATGTGTCCTAGTCAACTGGGTGAGGATAGCAGCTTCTGGAATTGTCTCCCGACAGTCACCATCCTCCCTTCTTTCTTGCTAAAACAACCTGGATTTTGTTCAGGTATCCAAGAGCCATGTGCTTTAATTGAGGGTGGGAACTGGAGGAGGGAGGCAAATCTTGGCACTAATGTAACTGTCCTCAATGTATATTCGTGGGGGACAGGGAAAGTACATAATCCTAAGGTCCCCCTTTTCCAACTACATATCTGTGTAAGGCTCAATTTTCTTTACATATTCCAACCAAAACAATGTATCACAATAGATTGAATACAGAAGCAGATATGAGAATTCATGTGTTCCATTAAGTCAGACATTAGACTTGCAAAAACAGTGAAGAAATACTACTCTTATTTGTCTTGCTTTGAAAAATAGTTATTTTTTATAAAATATATGTTAACAAGTAATAGAGTTTATTATGACTTTAAATGACTTTTTTTTTTAATTCTCAGATTTAATCTCTAATATGACAAATATCAATAGATAGAACCCACATAAACAAAAGCTCTTTGGAGTCTTTCATTTTTAAGAGTGCAAATAAGGGTCCTGAGTTCAAGGTCTGATTGAGTCAATTTCTCTTGCAAGAGATTCTTTTAGGAATGGACCTGCAGTAGTGATTCTGGCCAATGATGAGAGGTTGTCTTTTGGGGGACCACTGGGAAGTTTTTCTTTGCTCTTATAAAAACATTTGTGAGAAGAAACTTTGCGACCTCTGGGCAGGGCTGTGTTTGGAGCTGCTGCCTAAAGTTGTTGCAGCTCTTCTCTGACCAAGGGGCAACCAGCAGCAGGACTAAGACAACATGCTGAGAAAATGGGTCTCGGATGACATCACTGAGCCACTAAGTTAACTGCCCTTGGAACTGCCCCATCTCAGATCCCATATTTATGAGAAAATGAATATTCTTTATCATTTTAGGCACTGTTAGTATGGTTTCTGCTGCTTGCACCAGAAAGCATTCTTACTGTTTCGACATACTTTCTTGTTTGTTCTTTTACCAAATATTAAAGAGTTGAGAACCAAACTAACAGACTAAAGCACAGAAAGTTAGTTCCTATGTCTGTATTTTGTTCATTTATGAATCCTAATTGCATTTACCTGTATGCCATGAATACTGATGAAAACATCATGGCTCATCAGTTCAGGCCTTCACACTGTCAAGATCCTTTCATGGGCTGAATATTTCCCATTCTGCTCCAACAATACCCTGGGTGAGAGATTAAAGCTAAAGCGGTGCAAATTTATCACCAATTCCTAGAAGAAAATTAGGGTGCACTTTCCAATGATAGCAAGGAAATAGTGCTACTCCCTACATGGACAGGGAGCACCTGTATTTTAAGGCCATTCAAAATGTGCAGAGGGAACCAAAGTAATCAACTATGCCAACACCCTCACTTTACAGATAAGGAAACTGAGACCAGAAGGGTCATGCCACATCCACAGCTTGATCCCAGCAGGACGGATGCCTTCAGACCAAACACATTAATCATCTATCTTGTCAGCACTGCAGGACCACAAGAATGGGTTTAATCGTGAACGAAGACTTAGATGCTAGTTTCTTGAGCAAATTAGAGAGGGTAAATGTTATTAAGTAAAAAGTAACTTCCCCTTCAGTTTAGTTTCCAAACTGTAAGTTAAAAAAAAAAGAGAGAGAGAGAAAGCAGGAAGGAGCTCAGTGCTTGGTTTGAAACTCAAAAAGTATTTGTTAAACTAAACTGACTTCAGAACAAAGTAGGATTTTCTCTAACTGAAATCCACACTTTCCCAGTTGCAGCTAATCAATACTCCTACAATAAAAAAGGCAATAATATTGAATGTGTGCTTCACCACTCTTAGGAAACTTTAGGTTATAACTGGAGCTCTCTCAGATTGTGGAGCTAAATGCTGTCTCCTCAGAACAATTCTGCTCCTGAGTTCACAAGCTTATGTTTTGTGGATTCATTTACTTGGAGTGAGAGTGAGAAAGGGAGAGAAAAGTCCTAGGCATAAACGAAGAGAAAGAAAGAAAAGTAGCTATGAAGCCTCAAAATCACGGGATAAAAACAAAGCAAAGTTTAATCCTCACTACACACGCACAGCTCAGAAATAAAGTTCCATGAAGGATATTGGTCATGGGTCCTCTGCCTTTTGGCCAGGGAATCTTCATCACTGATGCCAGCCATCAGGTACTTGAGGCCTGTGATCCAGGTGCGGGCCTCCTCAGGGTTGGAGGTGATGAGGTCCAGGGACTCCATGTGGTTGCCATGGTAAATGGTGAAGCAGCAGCTGGGGTCAAAGTTCCCCTCAGCTTGTCTGTGGAATATTTCAGACTGCCGACCCTCGGTGACTTTGTAAATGGAGTCGATAAGTACTGTCAGGGAAGTGAGACACACAGTTACATGGCAGGAGAAGATATTTATTTACACAGACTACCAAACAAGAAAAGCAAAATCATTTTAAATATAAAAAATAAGCACGAAAAAATTGTCTGAAAGTTGTAGTTTTAAGTCCACATGTGAAACACAGGCCCCACTGTTTCCTGCTAGGAAACTTCTCCACGTAACACTGTACCTTCCTCAGCAGTCTTCACAATGTCCTCCCAAGGCAATGACTTGGGATGTGTTGAAATGTATAGAAAAAAGACAGAAATGCCCATCTGGGCAAGAAGACTGGCAGAAAAGGTAGCAAATGAATATGTCAAGTTTACAGTTTACAAATTTATAAAGGGAAAAACATACAAAGACCAGAGCCAACTTTAGTATTTTGTGAGACACAAGAGAAGGTAGTTGGAAAATTGAAGGAAAAAAATCACTGGCAACTGAACAGCACCGTTGTGAGACACAAGAGAAGGTAGTTGGAAAATTGAAGGAAAAAAATCACTGGCAACTGAACAACAGCACCACTAAATGTGGCTGGCATTCCTGGAGAGAATGCTCCAGAAGTGAAGGCAGAGCAGGGCTCAGAGAAGTGGAGCGGACAAGGTGGCATCAGAGGAAGGGGCAGAGACACGGACACACAAGGCCCACTCCAGGCATGCTGAACAGGCCGCTCAAGCGGGCCTGGAAAGCTCAAGAGGAAGAATTGAGGCAGACAAACTGGAGAGGCAGACAAAGGCTAGATTAAGGAGAGAGAACAATAACAGATTAGCATTACGTAGGTAGGGGAGCAACACTGAAGCATCAGAGGAAGGGGCAGAGACACGGACACACAAGGCCCACTCCAGGCATGCTGAACAGGCCACTCAAGTGGGCCTGGAAAGCTCAAGAGGAAGAATTGAGGCAGATAAACTGGAGAGGCAGACAAAGGCTAGATTAAGGAGAGAGAACAATAACAGATTAGCATTACGTAGGTAGGGGAGCAACACTGAAAGTGTGGATCAGAGAAGCACTGGCAAGGGGGATAACTTCAGACGAAAATATTTTTGTTTGCT